ACGGGTGGTTTTTTCTTAGTTGTAAAATGCCATTCACGCGTTCCAAACAGAAACTGGAGCGAATGGAAATCAAATCATCCCATGAATCATCGTCTTCGCTATAAATACATTTGCATTCTAGGATGCCGTAATCGCATTTATTGTTGATTGTTTCAGCGACTAATGCATCCGGACTGCAACATAGAAAGGGTGCTGTCGGATCTACAACTAAACCACATGGATAAGTTGTCACTTGAACATTATTTAAATGATTATAGGCAATTAAGGATATTCTATGAGCGTTATCTCTTATACATACGTTTTCTTTTTTCTTCGACATATTTTCGTCGACAATGTTCTTCTTTCAAAATTCCATGACGAACAGCTCGAATAAAACCAATGTCTTTGTCGCGGTTGTTCAAAATAATATCAGCCAACTGTGAATAATCAGCTTTGCGGACTGCTATCTTGCTGATCGTTGTACCTATAAATAAAGAGAGAAGGTAGAGCAACGTGTTGAGAAGAGCAAATAAATCATAAAACTTACCTGATATTCTAACTCTTCTGGCATCATGCCATATGGTAGAGGAGGATTGGCCTTGTATCGCCCGTTCAAGTTCGAATATTTGTGTATTTGTCAAAAATATGTGATTGATAAACGTTGATTTGAGAGCAGGAGAAAGAGAACTAAACACTTGGGATGAAGTTTGAGTGGAAACTCGAGCTGGTACTGTGATGAACGGTATGTCGGGTGGTTGTATCAAAAATAAAAGTGCAGCTGCACATTGGTTTTCCTTGTTTTCAACCAAGATTTGTGCTAATTTACCTTTGGCTTCTGGTACATCTGGATATTCAGCCAGAAAACGAACGTACTGTGGTGTTTGCTGTTCCTGTTTGTTGTGGTTCAGTGATGTAAAACCTATCTCTAGCAGTTTTACTGGATTCTTTGAACGTCGTGTTGGTTGATGCCATTGTTGTAGACGTTGTGTTGGTGCATCGTATAGTTTGTTGTTATCATAGTCGAATAATGCAAAACACAGCGCTGCAATATGTTTGCATCCCGCCATTTTACCAGCACCGGCAACACATTCACATTTCCCTTCAAGAATAGCCGGATCTGGTGGAGTACTGATGACCAAACTAACCCGCAAGCAATGCCAATGTGAATACAACACAACCGAATTTTCGTTTTAGAAAACTTACGTTATAAGAGATAGCCTTTTTCATGTGCGCTCGACATTTAGCTTCGATTATACGATGAATATACGATGATGAAACAGTAACAGAATGAAGAAAATGATCCTTGAACAATAGATTGCCATTTTTTAAAGCACCTCGATCAAGATGACCATCAGTTGCTAATATTTTCGAAAAGTACTCCGTAATACTACCAAGATCAAGTTCGAAGGGTCGTTTATGATCAACGATAGACGTAAAAAGAGACGAGTGTGTAGTCATTGTTTTGTATGAATGAGATGATTAGAAATAACATAAAGTTGTCATAGATGATTTGTATAAGATTTACTTCGATCCGTCCCTCGCACTTGCACTCACTCTTAATACTGCCGATTGATGTTCTTTGATCTTACAACTCTTACAATTTTTGATGTTACACTCTCCCATATGTCTTAATGAAAATACTATATAAACATGCACATCTCACAAGTTTGCGAGACTATTTTAAAATGGTTAAAACTTGTATTTCATGTTCTAATCGAGAATCAAAAAAGAAAAACGTTTCGTTTCATCGTTTACCAAAAAATCCTCAGATACGTCATGTGTGGCTCACACGATTAAACCGTCTAGATTTAACTGATTTTCTTAACACTCGTGTATGCAATATTCATTTCTCACCCAACGATTATTTTCGTGATACTAATAACAAGGAAAACGACGATCCATTATCATCTCCTTCCTCTTCTTCATCCGAATCGTCCAAAAAATCCTTAAAAGTTGGTGCCTTGCCACTACCCGTGATCCTCAACTCTAGCGATATCTCTATACAAGCAAGTCCTTCGTGTCAAGATGTAAATGTCCAAACTACCCTCAGTATGGAACAAATAACAGAAATGATTCGACAGTTAAGCATTGTGGAACAACCAATATTCATTATAATGTCTATCGATAGATTCAAAGACGATCCGCAATATATCAACTACTACACGGGCTTTCGAACATACAAATATTTTTCGTTTGGTAGTTGAGGAAACAGTGTGGTTGCAAGTAAAAGAAAAATTAACTCTGTTTTTTTATCGATTCATGTTGCCAAAACTCAACACCGCTGGTTATGTGTAGCAGAAATAACAGGACATATTAAACCCAACAGTTCTTCTAAGAACTAAAAAACGTTTAAACCAACTAGTCCTATTCAGGATTCAGACATCTAAATCGAATGTCTCCTTGTTGATGTGTT